AGGCGACCGAAGCGACAAGCGCGCTAGCCGCGGCGCCGGGGTAGCCCCGCGCAGCCAGTGCCCGCCTGCCCCATGGCGCTCCGGCCCCCCGCGCGTCGCCGCTGCTCCCGTTCGTTCCCCACCCCCCGACCCACGTCCCCACTCGCCGCGTTCGGGTCCCCGCGGAAGCGCAGACGATTGTTTTTGTTTTCACGGGAACCGACCGATGACCTGGTTCTCCCGGGCGGCACCAAGCTCTGCCGTCCGGGGAGGGGGGGCAGCCACCCCAGCGAGGAAAGGAGGCGGCGCGGACCGTACCAAGCGCACTCTCACAGGGGAGCAGCCCGGCGAGCGCGGGCGAAGAGACGCTACGGCCGTCCGCACGCGCCACCGCTCTAAAGGTGTGGGCCGTACCACGCGGGAGGCGTGGAAGGGAGAGGGCGAGGGTGGAGAGAAAATCCAATTGGTCCGAGGAGCCGAATAGGGAACTTTGGAGACATCCGCAGCGATCGGACGGCAAAAACTACGCGCTCAGTAAACAAGGGGGTGGGAGCTATTTGTAACCACGGCCCCCAGAAACTGGAAGGCTAACCAATGGGGGCAGGGAATACGAAAGACATCAACGTCCTCCAATCCCTGGCCGGGGCTTAAAGCTTCAGCCAATCGGGATTGAAGGGCCAAACCAATGGTCTCGCTGTTGGAGGGGGTGATTTGGAGAATGTAGTGAGAAGTAAATCGTTTTTGGAAAGTATGAGGGAGAACAAGGCAAAGCCAAAAAGGGTTATTTTCTATAGGGCTTCACACTAACCACAATTATTTCATCTTTCCATCATTCCTGTAAGGAAAAGGAACACCGTCATTACGAAGTTGTGGAAGGCGGACCAGCTGCTCCTAACGAAAAGCCAAGCCCGGCCGTTTGGGGGCGGGTGGTGCCGCAGGAGCGGATCGGTAACCGGAATTAAAGGGGAGGTGATTGTGGCGACGACTGAGAGTAGTTGCTTGCCGGCCGGGAATGGCCTGATGAGGACGCCGCGACCGTCGGCGCCGCCTAGACGCTTGCGACACCCGAGAGGTCACATTCCACACTCCCGCGGGTTTCGGCCCTTTGGCCCCTCGGCCTGGAGCCTCTCCTGACCGGTGGCCTCACTATGTGCCATGAGCCGAGCAGCTTGGCAGAAAGAACACGCACTGGAGAGCCAGACAACCTGGACGGTGCTTCTTAGAAGCTTTATTACGTCGAATCGGATCGGGTTACTCCCCTTGCCTCAATCCTTCCTCTGGTTTTTCGTGGGCCTCCATAACCCCTTGTTCGCTGCTCTTCAGCTGCACTAACCATTAGTGTTGGTGCTACCGGCCTAGCTGGTTCCCGCCTCAGGGCCGGAGAACTTGGCCATTTCCTTCAGGAAGACTCTTCCTCCTATCTTTCTTATGCTAAGCTCCCCACTCGCTCGTCCCTCAGAAGAGCCTCCCTGACCAAGCTAACTTAGCCTCTACCTTACCTCACTCCCTCCCCCCTTGCCATATCATACCTGTTATATAACCAGTTTTATTATCTTCACGCCACTTATCAAAATCTGAAATTGTCTGTTTCATTTATTTGTTTCCTTCTCTGTCTTCGCTACTTCAATAAAAGCTCCATGACGACAGACAACTTGACTGTTTTTCTGTGCCTAGAACAACATGGTTGGCAATCATTTCATATACAGCGATGTGTGTGTTTATGTATTTTTTGTTATTATGTAATTAAGGCGATAACCTTTTTGAGCCTTAGTTTCCCTTTTTATAATTTGGAAAGAATACCTACTTAACTAGATTATTAGGGAGATTAAGTGAGATAACATATGTAAATGTTCATAACAGGTACGTGATAGCTACAAGGTAAATGGTGGTGGTAGTGGTTATTGTCAGTTCCCGAAAATAAATCTTAGATGGCTGCACAAAGTCATGGAGTCATGTTGATGCAGTCCCCATTGCTTTTATTCGGTTTTTGGTGATTTCTCAAGGACAGCCTCAAGTGTTGATATTACAGATCTTTCTCCTCCCCACTCACCCCACTTTCCTTTCTCCCGTCTTTCTTTGTAGGTGGCCCTGATTCCTGCTTCACTGAAAAGGTTAGAAAAAATCCACCTCCAGCACCCTCTGCTTGGGCAGACATTCACCCAAGGTTCTTTTCTCAACCTTCTCTTCTCCCTTTACCTTCTGTCCTCGGAGAACACGTCACAATTGCCACTTGAACAGTTACTTCTGTGGATAACTTCTCTTTCCAGCCCTGATAATACTTCATAAACTCTAGCCTCACATTGCCCCCAACCAGCAAGTCATTATCCAGAGGACTCATCATTCACAAGACATTGTCCAAAAGACTCATGGTAACCTCCAATCAACATGTAAAAAACAGAATCCATATTTCCCTTCCAAAACCAACTTTCCTACCACTGAATCTCAATTTTTGTCAACATTACCTTAAGTCTTCCAGGTTCCTCTGCCACTTCTCCGTACGCATCTTTAAGTTACCTATAGGATTCTTGAAAACATTTTCTCCATCAGATTCCTCGACTCCACTAATCTTGTTCCATTGCCATCCATCTAGATCCTTCTCAAGATCCCTTCGCTTCATCTAATGCCTTCATTCACCCTAGAATCATTGGTGGTCCCCAGGATTTTGTCCTCATCTGTATCCCTAAGGATATAGATTATCTCACTCTTTTTTATTCATCATTTCTCATCTTCATTAGTATCTTTTATATATTTCCAAGATTATTATAATTGCTTCTCTTTTACCTGCATTTGGTCTTTTACCCCTACAGTGCCACCAAATGAATTTTTCTTCCTCTCAAAGGGTTGTTATAATAATTAAATGAGATAATCCATGTAAGGTACTCAATATAATGTCTGGCACATGGTAAGAGCTACTGATTATTCTGATCAGAGACTCCCCATTACTTACAACTTCAAATCCTAACTCTCAGCTGGGCTTCATGATCTGCCCAGTGTAGCAACCCATCACAATTCCCTATCCAAACACATATACTTTCACACACATGTATCCATACACATTCACACTTTCAGTGTGAATTGAGCACAGCTCATTGATGTTTTCTCCTGTCCTGAAATGCTTTTCTTCATTCTCAGCTATTCAAATGCTTTCCTTTCTTTAAGTAACAGGACAAGTCACACTTTACAAATACTATCTAGAACCCAGACCTGCACTGTTCAATATGGTAGCCACCAGCCACATATAGTTACTTAAAATTTAAATAAAATTAAATATTCAGTTCCTCTGGAGCCCTCTTGCGGCCACTGTGGAAAGAAATTTGGTGGTTCCTCAAGAAGTTTAACATATGACCCAGCAATTCCACTCCTAGGTATACACCCAAAAGACTTGAACATAGGGACCCAAATAGATGTTTGCACACCAATGTTCATGGCAGCATTATTCACAATAGCCAAAAGGTGGAAACAACTCAAAAGTGTCCATCAACAGATGAATGGATAGACAAAATGTGGTACATAATACACTGGAATATTATTCAGCTGTAAAGAGAAATGAAGTTCTGATGCATGCTACGACATGGATGAACCTTGAAAACATTATGCTGAGTGAAATAAGTCAGACATAAAGGGACAAATATTGTACTATCCCAATTATATGAAATATCTAGAGTAAGGAAAGGCATATAGACAAAAGTTTATGAATGGTAACCAGGGGTGGGGAGGGGAGAGAAATGCGGATTTATTGCTTACGTGGTACTGAGTTTCTCTGTGGGGTGATGAAAAACTTTAGGAAATGGACAAGGTGATCGTTTCACAACATGGTAAATGTAATAGCACTGAGTTGTACACTTAAAAATGGTTAAAATGGCAACTTTTTTTGTGCTTTATATGGAAGTTTACAGTTCAAGTAAGTTTCTCATACAAAACTTTATACACACAGTGCTGTGTGACCTTAGTTGTACTCCCCATACTGTGACAGCAGCCTCCTCCTTTCCACCCTGGATTTCCCATGTCCATTCAACCAGCCTCTGTTCCATTCTGCCTTATCATCTCGACTCTGGACAGGAGCTACTCATTTAATGTCATGTATCTACTTGAGCTAAGAAGCACACTCTTCACGAGTATCATTTTATGTTTTCTAATCCAGTCTAATCTTTGTCTGAAGAGTTGGCTGTGGGAATGGTTTTAGTTTTAGGCTAACAGAGAGTCCGGGAGCCATGTCTTCTGGGGTCCCTCCAGTCTCAGTCAGACCATTAAGTCTAGTCTTTTTACTAGAATTTGAGTTCTGCACCCTACTTTTCTCCTGCTCCATCAGGCTCTCTGTTGTGTTCTCTGCCCCGTAGAGTTTCTGCTTAATAGCTGTTACACCTAGCTAGAGCTTAGCACTCACCCTTATTCAATATATATTAAAATAATATTTCCGCTTTAACCGATTCTTAGAAGTATGGAACCAGACAGAAGTAAGGTAGAAACATTCAAATTTCATCTCCCAAACTTGAGAAACTATAAAAACCAGTAAAACCAGTTACCATAGAGTCAATTTCAATTCATGGCAACCCCATGTGTCTGAAAGTAGAACAGTGCCCCATAGGGTACCCAATGGCTGATTTTTTGGAAGTAGATATCCAGGCCTTTCTTCTAAGGTGCCTCTTGTTGGACTTGAACTGCCAGTCTTTCAGTTAGCAACCAAAGCGTGTTAACTGTTTGCACCCAATAAAAGTTACTCAAAAATGTACATTTATGCAAAATATACTTTCCTATATGGGTGAGAAAGACTATATTTATAATTAGAATTGTAAAAGTGCATCAGCAGGTTTTACAAAAGCCTTGTGTAAAATACCTAATTTACTGACTTTAGCTAATGGCCAATATTAAAAGTAAGGGTAAACTGACAAAATGTATTATTAAGA